AATTTTTTTTAGAACCTCTTCTGTAGGTATGGCCTGCTTTGTGGGAGTGGCTTGCCGACCATGTGACCGAGTGGGAGTGGATTGGCAGTCGTGTGACCAGGAGGGAGTGGCTTGGCAGTCATGTGACTGGGAGGGAGTGGCCAAGATGATGTCAGCATATTAATTGCGCGGAGAAGAGCGTAAAGTCCAGCCGAGGCAGGAATGCAAAAATGATGCATACTCCTCCCTTGCAAGGGAAGCGAAGGAAACCGCCTGGGTCTCTGCTCCCCACCCTGGAATGCCCCTGTGCTTTGCTGGCAGCCACGACTCCTAGGCACGTTCGGGGAGCTCCTAGGAGGCCGGCCACGCCGCACAAGCTACTACCTGTGAGGGGTGACAGAATGGGTGGGGGAAGCGACCGAGGGGGCGGGGCAGGTGCTCCGTAACAAACCAGTTCTAACCAGTACAGTAGATTTCTGGAACCTCTTCTACCAAACCGGTTAGAACCCACCCCTGAATCAAACTCACAACCTCTTGATTGTGAGGCGAGAGCTCCACCAGATGGGACCTTTCTTACCGTTCTCCCTAGCACAGAGCAACATGGGCACAATTCATACGAGCATCTCAAAGGACGGGAAGGTTACAACCATCTGGGTTGGAGGTACCTGGCCAGCAGGTGCCTGGTGGTTATTTGAAGGCTGTGTGCTCTGGGCTTCTGCTGCACTCACCTTGCAAATGGCTGCCTGCATGATAGCATCAAAGCCTCCTTCTGCATCATCCAGGTTGGCTGAGATGCGCTGCTGACCGACCCTGCTCTCAAACTCACTGGCGTTCTCAGTCAGAGCGAGCACGTGCTTATAGCTGAAAGCTGACTGGCAGTTCTCCTGTGCGTTTAGGCAAGGATTTTTCCTCTTGGAAGGAACCATATTGACATAAGGTAGCACGGTCTTGTCCACAAAGGCACCAAACCCTGCAAAGAAAAGATCTTCCGTCTTACTCATGTTACCCTTAAACCCCAGCTCTGAGGGCTTTACAACCTCCTACAAGCATATGGATAAGCGTTTGGGAGACAGGGTGAACAGATCAGATAAGAGACAGCATAGCCCACAGCTGGATAGTGGGCAGAGCAACAGGCTTAGAAGGGACCCTCCTTAGATTCTTGTGCTGTAAAGGAGATGGCGGGAGAATTTCACTTTCACACAGGCAAGATTGTGTTAATGTAGATTTATAATAAAGTGGAATTAATTTATCTGGTCATGTTTTCTGCCTGGCCTACTTGGGAAGGCAGACATACAGTTATCAAAGAGTGAATACAAAAGTGGATTTCCCAAAAAACTAGGGCAAGACTTAGAATAAGTTTGTCACTTAAAAAAGAGAACCTCAGGGGAATGGGGGGAAGGGAGGGAGGAAGGGGGAGAGAAAGAGGGAGGGGGAGGGAGAGGGAGAGGAAGAAGGAGAGAGGGAGAGAGGGAGAGGGAGAGAGAAAGGGAGAGAGAAACATGCAATCCAAACAGTTCCAATGAATTTGCAATGCTCAGGTCAGTTTAAAAGAGTTACAAAGAAAACATTCTCATCCAAGGGATAAAGCAATACAAAAGCCCAATATATGACCCTATAATTGGTGCAGTGGTTAGAGTGAAGTACTGCAGGCTACTTCTGCTGACTGCCGGCTGCCTGCAATTTGGCAGTTCAAATCTCAGCAGGCTCAAGGTTGACTCAGCCTTCCATCCTTCCAAGGTGGGTAAAATGAGGATACAGATTGTTGGGGGCAATAGGCTGACTCTGTAAACCACTTAGAGAAGGCNAGGCAGGACAGACTGACATTGGGGCAGAGAGATAGAGGGACAGACAGATGGACAGAAGGACATACAGACTCCAGTGCCTGCGATGATGTTACTTAGTTTGGGTGCGATGAAACATCTGCAAAAAAAAAAAAACGAGCTCAGACTGCAACAAGGACTCCTCATAAAGGAAACGTTCATAATGATAGTGAGTTATGTATCTTATATTTATCCAGCTAATTGCTAATAGTGCCTGTCTGTCTGTCTGTCTGCCTTGTGGCTGTATGTCCCCCAGTCCATCTGTCTGCCTGTGTAGCAGTCTGTCCTCCTGTCTCTCTGGCTGGCTGTCCAACTGTCAAGTTGTTTGTCTGTGGGTTCATCTATATGTCTGTCTGTCCATCTGTCGAGCTATTCATATATCCATCCATCTGAATGTCTCTCTGTTCATCCTTCCATTTGTTCATTTTTTGTCTGCCCATCCTTCCCTCTCTCTGTTTATCCACTGATCCATCCACATCAGTCTGTCCATCTGTCCTTTGCTGTTGGTCCATCTATCCATCTGTCTGACTGCTATCCATCTCTTCAACAGTATGTTTGTCCGTATCAATGTCTTTGTCTGTCTGTCTGTTTACCTAAGTGTCCATCCACCTGCTGCCTATCTATCTGTCCAATAGGCTGTCTGTTTGTTCATCCTGCTGTCTGTGGACAGATAGATGGACAGACAGACAAACACATGGACAGAAGACAATGCCCAGAGTATATCCATCTGTCCATCTATTCATTATCTATTGCCTGTCTATCCAACTGTCTGTCTGTATGTCTGTCTGCACTTTCATCTCTCCATCTATCTATATATCTGCCTGTCTCTTCAGTCTGTCCATTTTTCTACCTGTCCTTATATTTCTCCATCTGTCCTTTTGTGTGTCTGTCAGTCTGCCTGCCCATTTGTCTCTATCCAATAGCCTGTTCATCTGTATATCTATGTCTGTGTGTTCATTCTTCCATCTCTCTAGTTTATCATCTATCCGTCCATCCATCGTTCTGTTTGTGATTCTGTCCATCTGGGTGCTGTCTGTCCAGTCATCTGTCTGGTCTGTCCAGCAGACTGTCTGCTTTGTCCATCTGTCATCCTGTCCATTCTTCTATTTGCTTTACTGTTTGTCCATCAGTGATGTTACCTACTTAGGATATTAAAAGCCTGCAAGCAATCAACAAAGTTCAGGCAGAACAAAGGCCTCGATGGTTCAACCCTGAGCTACAAATATTCTCTTCAATTGGAGAGTCATAGTATCTCAAAGAAACTTCATGTTTTTACCTGCACAGAGTTGCCCATTATGTCGTTCACAGGCAACATTGTCACAACTGCAGAAGGGCCCACTTGCTAGGCTCACACCTTCTGAACCAAGTATTTCCTCTTTCCTGCAATCACAGCGCCGGCCAACATAGCCTTCATGACACCTAGAAGAAATGGGCCATGGAGAGGAGGCAAAGAGCATTTCTCAATCAACTATTGGCTTGCATGGTTTCACCCTCACCAACTTGCTACCTCTCCATGCTGGCATAGCTACAGTCCTTCAATTATAATTGGAGCTGGAATTAATCCTTATCTAGGTGTTGGTAGAAGAGGGTGGGGGGAAAGGAAAGGGGAACTCTGCTAATGCTGTGACAGATAGTTATTATCAATCAATCAATCAACCAATCACTGTCTTTCAACCCTTCTTCAAGACTTTCACATGAAATGATGTCTGTAATTTTGAGTAGGTCGGAGAATCGGTAAATTCCACCTCTGATTGGCCTCGCTCCCATCTATTCTCTGCCTCCCGAGTCCCAGCTGATCGGGAGGGAATGCGGATTTTGCAGTAAGCTTCCCTTGGAGTGGGGAGGGAATGGAGATTTTACAGTATCCTTTCCCTGCCATGCCCACCAAGCCACGCCCACCAAGTCATGCTACCCCCAGCAAGCCACGCCCACAGAACCGATAGTAAAAAGTTTTGAATCCCACCCACTGGTGTGCGGCCCCCATGTGCCCCTTTTTCGGGCTGGATGGGCTTCTGAAGCACTTTGCCAGCCAAAGCAGTGTTTTGTCTGCCATAAATTCAAACGGTCACCAAGAGACCAGTCATAAGTTGAGGACTAACTGTAGATCATTTTGCCACTTCATGAAGGCAAAAGAAGAGACCGTGAAATCAATATTACACTACTTTATTGCAATATTTCTGACCTGGACCTTATTCCAGGCATATGAAGAAAAAGGTTTTTTGAGCCTTTATTGCTCTGCAACAATAAATGTAAGTGAAATTGTCTGTGGTCGATAACCAATTTGGTGGTACTTGTGGTGTCTAGATTGCAGAGTTCCATCATCACAGTTATATTTTGAGGAGAGGATGATATTCAGGTCATCAGTTAGTTTTTTAATATCAAATTTTATTAATTTTTATCAAAATATAAGACACAAAAGAAAACAAAATATAATGGAAAACTAGGGGAGGGACAGGGCGGGGGACAGAAAACGTGAGATGGAAAGGGAAAAAGAAACAAAAGGCACTGACCTCCAACTCTCTTTGGTACAGTAGAAGATAATAACATTATAACCTCAACTTTTTACTTTTATACAATAGTATATACTAGCCACTTCTACAACAGCAAACCTGTTGTAGAAACAAATTTTCATTTTTTCCCATCACAAGCATAAAGTTCAGAAGCAATTTCCAAATAGAAACCAAATTAAATACATTCTTTTTTTTAGGTAAAAAATTTGATTTAACAATCTCTTTTCTGTTTGCTCATTAATATTTATAGACTGTCATATTTTATATTAATAAAACTCAGTATAGTCTTTCAAAAGTTAACCCTAAAGAAAGTAGTGCTTTTCTTAAATTTTAAAACATTAACCTTTTCTTTAAAAACTTTTCCAACATCAATTTCTAACACATCTTTTTTTAAACTTTATACTCTTTTTTAACCTCCTCTTGACATACATAAAGTTCACTTTCAGTGATATGTTTCAAACTTTAAGGATTACTCAAGCTGTAAAGGAGGAAAAAAAACCACTTTATAATCTCTCTCTCCAATTTATGGTCATGCAATAAGATCTTTTTCATCTCTTTAAAAGTACTAACTATTCATATTTTTGAATTTAATTTCAATATTATCTTACAAACTTTGGGAGTATTAACAGGGAGTGAGTTAAATTCATTGATTAATCAGAGTTGGGATAAATCATATAAATACCTGCAAATGCCACAGGTGAGGTTGCCATGCCCACCAGAGCAGTGGTGTGCATCAGGCTGGGTGTCTCCACATTGGCACTCACAGGCTGTTGACAGCTCTACTTGGACCTCCTCTCCCACTCCTAATACTCGCAACACAAGCTTCTGGGACTCAGGTAGGCAAGTGGTTGCCCTTATCTTCACTGTGAATTGCACCTTGGGAAGACAGGTGAATGAGAGGGGCTCCATCAACTTCCCTAAGTGATAAATCTGTGGCAATCCAGGTGTTCCCAAATTCCAATTCCCAGCGTCCCTCTATCCACGCTTATACTGCTAGAGCTGTAACACAGCCACATCTTTGAGATCCTCTCCTGAGACATGCTTGGAGTCATCAGAAGCTCTTGACTTAAATACTCACCAACTGGTTGACAGACACGTCACTGCATTCTCCACCCTCTGTCTGCCCATAGGTTGCTGTGTCTCCACAATGGGAGTCATAAGCAATGGAGATCCCAGGCGGAAGGTCTGAGAAATGTCCCAGTTTCACTGTGGAAGCGAGACTCTATGGAGAGACAAGTAGAATCTGTTGTGAGTAGGCTTATGACTCGGATGATACTACACTGCAAAGCAAGGCAGAAAAGGAGAATGCTTACACATGTTTTTACTAAGAGACCCAGTGATTAGAGGGTGGAGGGGCTGCACTTCAAAACTCAGCTCAGTTGTTTGCTTTAAGAAAGCCACAGTTTATTTCTATCATGGGAGTATCAAATTGATTACTAGGCAGTAAATATGATTGGGATGATATATATAGTATCAGAACAAAATGGGATAAAATTATTAGCCCCTTTGTCCTGCAAGAGCTCAAGATAGCATATAGTAGATATGGCCATATATATACATATATGGCATCCTACCAGGCATAAAAGATCAGGTACACACATGTGAAGGTTCAATGAAACTGATTTATTGCTAATTATGTCTATACACAGGAATTTTCTCAACTAACAGCACATGCTTGGAATTAGGATAAGGTTCAACAGGATTTTGACTTAGTTCATTTGTGGCTACATAGGGATTCTAGGCTGATTCCTCTTTTAACTCCACCTCCAAGTTCTGCCACTCCTTTTCCTACACATCCATGTATAGCATATAGGGAGGCAATATAGCATCTAGCATTCTTCATCCCATTTTCCCCTCACAAAACCTACCCTCTGAGGTAGGTGGAGCTCAGAGAGGATATATATATTTTGTGATCTTCCTCCCACATTTGGGCATACCGGGGGTTGTAAAAATCATATATATATATATATCCTTCCGAGGTGGGTGAAATGAGGACCCAGACTGTGGGGGCGATATGCTGACTCTGTAAACCGCTTAGAGAGGGCTGAAAGCCCTATGAAGCGNCTTCAGTACAAGATAATTCCCTTCTCCAATACCATGGATCTCCCCCCACCCCGTTCCTATGGCAGCTGATATTAAACAAGCATAGCAAAACAGCCATAAGTGAGCAAGCCAAACAGAGGCTGACAATACCTACCTACCTACCTACCTACCTACCTACCTTCCTTCCTTCCTTCCCTCACTCCCTTCCCTTCCTCTCTCTTCATTCATTCACTCACTCACTGACTCATTCATTCCTCTATCCACCCATTCCCAGCATGTCTAACCAAGTGTCTCTGGGAAACCCCAACAGGACAGAAGAATAACATCACATGCTCATATTTCTTCCCCTGGCAACTCACCCTTTCGGTCATTCACTGTCAGGAGAATGCTTCCCGTCTTGTCCTTCTCAATGAGGTAGATGAGGAGACGCCCATCTCCTCCCTTCATCTGGCACCATCTCTCATCCACAGGGGCCACCAACATTCTCACCATTTGGCTGCAGGAATTGCTACAGTTCTGACTCAGCGGTCCGGTCCCAAAAGCTTTGCACTCGGCACAATCCCTGCCAACAGATGTGCAGTTTTTTTTAAAAAAAATTAGGGGCTTTTATTTACTTTTGCTTAGCATACAGTATGGCCCCCACACCCATTCAGACACCCAAAAACTGCTAGCACCAATGGAGAACGGTTTGATCCCCGGGGAAGTTACTGCAGCTAAATGTGGTTCAACCAGTTGGTGAGAGAGGGCAGGTGGGGGGGAGAGATTTTTTTTCCAGATTCCTTTTTTATATCATGAATCCCTACTACTAACATTTGGTGGCAAAGATGAGCACATGTTCTGACGGTGGCTTTTAATTTGATTTGCCCAAAGTTGTAAACTCTGATTAAGACCACCTATAAGTCTGATGATAAACAAGCATATATACAAATCTAAAAGGGGCAGAATTTTAGTTCACATAATTATAATTTGGAACAATACAATATGATCACACAGCAAAAGTTCTTCTGTAATGAAGCTATAATGGTCCGATTTGCTTATTAAGTGGGGTGAGAGTTACTAACATAACCAGAAATGCAAGCTGATACAGCATCATGAAGACACAATTTGTTTAGTGACCACCCAAAGTTACAATGACACTGAGAAAGGGGACTTACAACCAATCCTAATCCTCACACGTACTACCACTGCAGCATTCCCACAATTACATAACCAAAATTTGAGCACTTGGCAATCGCCATGTGTTTATGATGGTTGCAGTGCCCTAGGATCATGTGGTTGCCATTTCCACTAGTCCAACAAGCAAAGATAATGAGGGAAGCCAGATTTGCTTAACAACTGCATGATTCACTTAAAAACAGTGGTGATTTATTTAACAATCATGGCAAAAGAGATTATAAAAATCAGGTGTGACTCACTTAACAACCACCTTGCTTAGCAATGGAAATCAATAGAATAGAAATAGAAATAATACATTAATAGAATATAAAATAATGGAGTGAAGGAACGGAACAGAACAGAACAGAACAGAATCAAATCGAATATTGGAATAGAATGGAATGGAATAGCATAGCATGGCATGGCATGGCATGGCATGGCATGGAATAGAATAGAATGGAATGGAATAGAATAAAGAGAGTTGGAAGAGAACTTGGAAGTCTTCTAATCCAAACCCCTTATAATTGTGATTGTAGATCAAGGGTTACCTGTAGTAGCACAGTGAAGCCCAATGAAATCTTCCTAAAGCCAGCATCTTCTGAAAATGCTAGGACTGCAGTTCTAAATGTTATCAGTGTGCTGGCTAGGAATATAAAAACTCATGGAGTCCTCCAGTTACTTGCTAATGTTCCCCCGTCTGTCACTTAAAATGTGCTGGCAACCTTGGGTGATACTCTAGAGACCATGCAATGCAGTAGATTCAGACAATCTCAGCAACTCAGCTTTTGCAACCCTGTTTTAAGCTATCCCGAGTTCCTGGTCTGTCTGCTTCACTGATGCCCACTGGTGTTCCAACTAAATGAAAGGATTTAGGATGCCAACTTGCTCAAGGAAACTTGCATTGAAAGTATCCAGTGCTCCTGTGCAGTACTGATGAACAATGGAAAAGTGCAATGTCATTGGCATCAAACCCAGTCAAAGTACATGGTAATGGTTCTCACTTTGACTTAATCAGGGTGGTGACTGATAATGAACTTTGCTGAACAAAGCCCTCCTGCTTAAAAAAACCCAGCCTCTTCCCTCGATCCTTTGGCTCCCTCCCCTCAGCCTCACCTGTGCACTTCACAGGGCATCTGGTGGTCAGCACAGTGGCTGCCCAACCACCCAACATCACACTGGCATCGGTTGCAGGCACAATGGCCATGCCCATTGCAGATCTTGCCCTCTTGGTCGCATCCATTGGTATCCAGGCTGCACTCACATGCGCTGCCAGTGTAATTGGCCTGGCATTGGCACTGGCCACACCTGCACTGCCCATTACCTGTTGGCAGAAGGAGACAAGCATTGTGGAATTCTTTGTGTTATAGGGAAAATGGCTGGTACTTTGTGATTTTTTTCTTGCTATTTATCTTCAATTTGTGCATCTAAAAAAAAAAAACCAGCAAGAAAAAATCCCAAAGTACCGGGACTTGCAAATTGAAGTTGAGCGACTGTGGAAAAAGAAATCATGTGTTGTCCTGATTGTAATTGGAATTGGAATTAGAATTGGAATTAGTTTATTTGTATGCCGGCCTTCTCCCTGAGGGGACTCAGGGCAGCTCACAATTCAGGGGAGCCCTTGGAGCAATACCTAAAGGGCTATCTCACTATTTGGACATTTTAAATTTATCAGTCTTGAACTTTCTGATTCTACCCCCCAAAAAATTATTATTATAATTAAAGATTAACAGAGTATTATTATTGTTGTTGTTGTTGTTATTATATATTTTCTTCATTAAACATGAAACTCAGCCAACTGAACATTCAAAAATGCATTACAAATACTATTGACTGGTGCTAATGGTTGATACAGTTTGCTGCCAGCATCCTAGGTAACCAAGTACCTTCTTAAAATATANCCAATCAGGCACCATCCCAACTGGAGAGGCCTCCCAGTCATACCCCTCCAGGTGCTCGGCGAGATGTCCTTGACTCTCTGAGAAAGGAATATTATTATGACTATATATATATCTCCCATATTCCATATAAGCTCCCTTCCCATTTTCCCACAGCATCAAATGTGGCAGGCCTGAAGTCCAAATGTAAAAGATGGTTTCCAGACCTGATAAAAGATTTGATTGATTGATGTCGATCCTGATGGCAGCTTTTTAGAGACATTCTCAAAGAGCAAACCATCCATTGATGTCCATTAGAAGGAACTAGAATTTCATACTATGAGGTTCATTATTTACAAATGAAGGCAAATATAGTATCCCACCATAATGTTGCAGGATTTAATCTGAGTTGGTTCCTGGGACCAAGGGTTTCGTCTTCCAAGCATTCAGACGTGTGCTGGAGCCTGTCCTCAAGGAACTAATTCTCTCTCTCCAGAATGTGTGTAGAGAGAGAGGTTCCCTGAGGATGGGCTCCGGCACGAGTCTGAAAGCTTGGAAGAATAAATCTCTGGTCCTGATAATCGACTCAGATTGGATCCTGAATTCATTATTCCTTATATTATGTCCCATTTATAGTCATGATCTTGCACTGTCTTGTGTTCAGGACCAGAAGGAGCATGACAGCTAGAAATAAGGCACCAGAAGTCACAGTTTATAACCTGCCTGCAAGACAGTGGAGGGTTTAAAATTCAGCATCTTGAGAACAGAAGCTTAAACAAAAACTGCTGCTTTAATTGGTCTAAAAAACCCCACTTTCAATTTAAACAGATTGCAATTAGAAGGGAGAATAGATGCAGCAGGGTTGTGGTCATGTTCTTGGAAGAGGTTGTAGCAAGTTAGCACCCACCCCTCTCCTAGAAAAATGAAATGAAACGAAAAATGAAATATTTTGGTAAATATTAAAAGGACAGAATATTTCCCCTAAAAGAGAGGCAGAAACTCATCCCCTCCCCCTCCTTTGTCAATGGCCATCACCCAGCAAGAGTCAACCAAGCTTGGGACTTAGGACAGCCTACAGAGTTGCCCCTGCATGGCCCCATGGGAGTCTGACAACCAATCAGAATATAAGCTCAAATTCAAAGCCCAACAGAGGGTCTCTCTGTCTCTGTCTCTCTGTCTCTCTCCCGCCATGTGCTTTTTTGCCCAGGATCTCAAACCATATGGTCCTGCCCACCACCATTAAATCACCTTTTCAAGCCATCTCCATGTTTCCAGTGTCTTTCTCCTCACTTGGAACTGAACCCAGGTGGACATTTCTTCCAACAAGGGGTATGTGAAAGAAGATAGCACGTTTCTTTTCAGAACAAAACCTATTTTGAGAAAGGCAGATCCAAAAACAGTCTGCATTTTTACATGCAGGAGGCAAAGCCTACATGACTTTCCAAGTAAGAATGTTTTAACTGACCAATAACCCAGCTTTAGGGTATTGTTTCTCAACCTTAGCAACTTTAAGATGTGTGGACGTCAACTCCCAGAATTCCATAGCCATCCACGGGAAAATCTGGGAGTTGATGTCCACACGTCTTAAAGTCGTCAAGGTTGAGAAACAGTTTTAGAAGCTTCGCAGAGATGCTGGTTGGGGTGGGGTGGGGAGGAAGAACTTATGAATTTCAGCATTTACTGAAAAATAGATGAAAGGAAGGAACTGCTGACAATGGCCACCAGATTGCTCCATCCCACAAGTTCGGCCGTCAGGAAGCAGCTGACGAAGAGATGGTAAACAAACATGTATCACTCTGCTTAATGTGCAGCATTCAATCTGGCAGAGAATTACATATTCCCCAATCAGATTTGATTCTTTTAAAATACATACATAAGTAATTCTGGCATGGACCCAGCAGCCATCTCCTAAGAGGAAAAGGTGGGGCAAGCCCTCTAAGGCTTAGAATTTGGCACCTGCAGATGGAGAAAGTCCTCCCTATCTCCCATTGCTCTTCTTCCCCCCTCTCCTCCCTCCACTGTCAAACAGATAAACAAAGGAGGCCACTTCCTATCAGCTTTATTGCAGTGGTCTCCTGTTTCTCTGGGGTGAAAAATAAAGAAAAACTCACAGATCCAACCACAACTTTGCTTGCCTTTTAAAGTCTGCAAGAGGCAGATAAATTAACATTCCCCACCTATCTTTTCAAAGAGGCTGACAATAGCTTGACCATAAGACAGAAACAGCAATACATTTGCCAAGCCCATGTCCCTGCAGGGGAATGGTACCAATTCTTAGACCTTTGTCTCCTTCCTCTTTCTTGCCCTTCTTTGCACTAATTCCTTGCTGCACTCAAAATTATGACAAGAACAATTTCCCCACCCCACTTCCGTTATCTTCACCTCTGGTCAGCAATAACAATGGCAAAGGACAATGGTTCCACTTTGAAAGGGGAATTCCTTGCTGAAAGACTTTGCTAATTTCTGCCTGCCTCTTCCATCACTCCTAATGAAAATATTATAATCATCATTTTCTTGAATGCAAATGAATATTGTTACGAGAAGTTTTGGATGCCAGCTTTCTTCAGAGCTAGCAAAGCTAGAAGACATAAATTTGGGTATGAAGCATGGTAACGAGCAGATTAGAAGAATTGTTTTTCACTTATACTATATGTGTTTGCCAGTGGTGGGTTTCAAAAATTTTTNTCCTTAAATGTATTGTAACTTCACGAAGAAGCAGGAGGCACACAGGTAACTGTAACCATTTAATCAACAGTAACTTTGTAACAAGTAACAGAGAGTAGACCGGGCTGGACGCGCGGTAGACAGGAATGTATTAACAGTAGACCGGGAGGTCTGAACAGTAGACCGGTATCGTCGGCGGTTACGGAGTAGATCGGGTGGCAGTTGGAAATAGCCTTCCTTTTATATTCCAGCAGACTTCCGCTTGACAGCTCGGCAACTGACAGGCGCGTCTGATTGGCTAAGACGTGCCTGGCTGCTACCGAGCTGTCATTCGCAAGTGCGAGGACTTGCTTATGCTATATAACAAAATGTCTATGGAGATTCTCAGCCATCCAGGTCATGGTTGTCCCAGCTGATCGTCGGAGCTACTGGTTTGCCTGAACCTGTCCGAATCGGCTGAATCCCACCCCTACCTTTCTCCCTATTCTTCTTTCCCCCATTGACCTCACAGTCCCAAGCATTTCCAGCATGGAGGGACTTCCTCATCCTTTTCCTCCCACAGAATTTCAATCAATAGGGGCCGGGAGATCTTTTCAATCCTTTTGTTCTCCCCATATGCCAGCTGTGTCTGTGCAGAGGATTTGGGTTCTGCTTCAATACATCCTGCAATCTGATGCATGAGACTTCAACTGCCAGAATGCCTCTTTCAAGTAGAGTTAAAATCCAATACATCCAGAAGATACCAGGTTTTGAGAAGATCGTTGCACTGAATTGTTCAGCACCTCTGAGAGTCCCAGGTTTCGGTGTGGTAGACACAGTGGTGGGATTCAGCCAGTTCGCACCACTTCGGAAGAACCAGTAGCTATTTTTTTTCTGGAGTTCCGCAAACTGTCTGAAGTGAGGGGCAGGAAGCCCAGCCATACCTGGCGAGGGGGGGGGAGAAGAGATGGCAAGAGAAGCCCCATCTCCTTCCACGTGCCCCAATGAAAGGCAGTGGCAGCCCAGGTGCTTCCCTTCCTCTCCCTCTCTGGTGCTGGAAGTAATTAAAAAAATCAATTCATCCAGGGTCAGATTGGCTATCACAGGAGGCTCATCCCACATATGCGGCAGAGCTGGACGGCCACACCTCTCATGATGGCTAACCTGACCCTGGGCGAACTGGTTGTTAAATTACTTGAATCCCACCACTGGGTAGACACTGCACTTTCACTTATTTTCTAAGTAATCTCAGTAGCTTTTCAAGAAGATGAGAAAGGAACCTACATAGAGGTGACTTTTGCTGTATACACCATTGGCATCCAGGTGGCAGCGGCCATCATTGGGCATAAGGATCCCTCCCAATTTTCCATCCCCTGCAGTGTGGAAAGCGCCATCTGAAGTGAAAACTAGCAGACTGGTCACATTGCGCCAGCCAATCTGGTCCTGGAAAGAGAGAGCAAGGGTCAGGTGAGTTCTCCCACATTCAAAACAGCAACTCTACTTACATCAATATTTTTGAACTGAATACTCATTCAGCACGTCTCGGGAGTGCAGCATATTCAGAAGAGGTTAAGACGCATTTGAATAAAGCTCGGATCAAAGTTCAAGATCTGTTAGATCTTGCTACCAATATCAAACCTCAGGTTTTGTAACAGTTTATTTTTTAGAAAACAAGATTTCCAACTGAAAATGTAGAACGCCGCAAATAAATCTAAGGTAGTAGTTACCAAAGTTTAAACGATCAGACAGTGGGCTGGCAATGAAATTTTGTGAAATTTTGCTCCGGATTGAGAAAAATTAGGTGTGGTTTCTGGTTGAGGATCTATGGTGGAGTAGACATCCTTGATACGAGGATGGCATTGCTGCAGAAGTGGGCAGCCAGTGCAGTCTTTCCGGGTAAAGGAGAGATTGTAGGATCGCCTACATGCACTCCATACAACTGCTCCTCGTGAAGAGATGGCAGAAACTGAGGGTTTTGGGGTTGACTCGAGAGTTGAGCAGTGGGGAGTCAAGGGCTTCTTCTCAAGCTCACAGTCATAATGCAGCTTATATGGGTACAAGGTTTATGCAAGCCTCAGTTTCTTAAACACTTTCGGATGTAATTAATTTACAGCTAAAGCTAGATTGTCTGAGTGGCAGGGTAAGATAATTCCACTTCGATGAGTCAATATTCTTTCTAGATTACAAAGGTATTTAAAGATTTTTAAATGTTTTGAGAAAAGTCTAAGAAGGAGTATGATATAAGTTTAAAACAAAAGGAGGGAGGGAGGGAGGGAGGAGGGAGGGAGAAAGGAAGGAAGGAAGGAAGGAAGGAAGGAAGGAAGGAAGGAAGGAAGGAAGGAAGGAAGGAGAGAGAGAGACCTGGTCTGCATAATTCTACCCTCGTAGCTGTCTAGTGGATTTAACAAGCCTAAGAACTGTGCAGATCAAGGAAGGAGATGTATTATTTTCCACAGGAAAAATATCAAAATATTTTTTTCTTTGGGAGTAAGTGGGAGGGAAGAAATTCCCGGAGAATGTCCTGATTTTGCTGTGGGAAAAGAATAGTCACAACTTTGTATGAAGTAGTAAAATATAAGCGGTTACAAAAGCCAGTCCAACCCCCTGCCCAAGCAGGAGACCCTACATCTGCCTTTACCTAGGATCAAACGACTGGTGGGTTTCAATTTTTTTTAGAACCTCTTCTGTAGGTATGGCCTGCTTTGTGGGAGTGGCTTGCCGACCATGTGACCAGGTGGGAGTGGCTTGCCGACCATGTGACCGAGTGGGAGTGGATTGGCAGTCGTGTGACCAGGAGGGAGTGGCTTGGCAGTCATGTGACTGGGAGGGAGTGGCCAAGATGATGTC